AATAAGTTGTTATTTTTGAGTATTGTGCTCAAAATTGTGGATAAACTGTCCAAAGTTGATATTTTCTTATTGTTTTGTTCAAGTACTTTCAAACATCACAGTCATTTTTAAGGACCAGTTCTTTTGTCTATATACTGGTATTTTTTGGTATATACACATACACAGATATATATGTGTGTGTCTGTGTCTATGTGTGTAATCTAAAGATCATTTGAGGTGTGAAACTGACAGTAGACATAGAGTGTTGATCCCTGTGTCCACATTGTTTATATTTACACCAAACATCAGATATTTTTGAAAGGGTTCTTTATTGGGCTAAGAACTTTTCAGAGCCCTTTAAGAAGCTTCCTGAATCTAAAATTTTTTTAACCTTTTTTTTTCTGTTGAAATTAACTTTACCTCTGATTATCCTTTTACCCCTCCCCTCAACGTCCTTTCAAAAATTGAACATGTCATATTTGTCTACAAGCACAATACATTTGTTGCTGACATATTTTCCACAGTAGTCAATGATGGCCTGTCTATGTTCTGGTTTATCATGGCATGGAAAAATAACTCCCCACCTTCACCCTCTGAGCTTACTTTTCTATTTAGTGCAGATCTGATATTTAATTGGTTAATCAAGACATACCCATAAACCTATTTTTAATTCTGACCATATGTTTCCACCACACTTTATCTTTCGGAAAAGAGATAATACTTTGCTTTTGAAATTTTCTTAAAAATCATTTAATCGCCACCTACTTACCATTGTCAGAAGAAGTACAATCATAGTATTGAAACATGAAAGCTTTTGTGTAGCAATTTCAATATTTTTTTTATTATAAACACTTATAATAAATTAATAATAATAATAATAATAATAATAATAATAATAATAATAATAATGATAATAATAATAATAATAATATATACATACGCTTGAGGATGAAATGGAACTAATGTTTTTAATTTAATTACAAAATTAAATTCAAAGCTTTTAGCTTCCAATTTTGAAAGATGGTTATTACTGTGTAGCAAAAAAACATATTTTAAATCAGTTAATTTATAATATTAATACTCTGTAAATTTACATTGAGCACTATTTTGTAAAAATAAAAATATCAATAAGAACACCGGATTATATATCTTACTGTTCTTTCTTTATATATATATATAAATATATATATATATATATATATATTTATCCAACCCTGTATATGCTTAAGAGCCTCTTAAGCACATATACTTATTTGTCTATTTATTGTTTTTTATTTTTTTAAAATAAAGCGTTGTGAGGTCAATTGATAAAAATTGCCCGAGGATATCGTAAGGTTGAAGCCAAGGTAGCAGATTCAACTTATCTCCTGATTTTTAAATTTAAAAGCTCAACATGTTATTTTTACTTTTGTTTTATTTTTTCACATGTGTATTGAACACTTTTTAATACTACTGTTTCCTGATCTGATTCAACGCTGACCATTAACCTTTTATGTATTATAATATATATATATATATTACTTCAAACATTATTTTTAGTTGATATTTGTGTTTGAAATAGATAATCAGTTTTTATTTTAACCAGTATGTATTATGTCTACTGAAGAAAACTTAATAAAATAAATGTGTTGTCCAGCAGTGTTTGAACTTGCATCCTCTTTTCTCCCATCATCTTCAATTTATGGAAGTCTAAGAGTTCAGGTCTTAGAACAGAACAACAATTATTCACCAATGATTTGATTATAATGGTGAAGCCTTGTGAAGAACTAATCAAACTTTTTCAAAGACCTGAATACCAAGAACTGGAGCATGTCGTGTACCACAATGTTTCCTCAAGTTTTGAATATCAAGTTTCCTTCTACTTGGCTGGTTGCCAATCTAGGCTAAAAACTCCAGTCTCCACCATTATTTAACTCATAATGGGGGGGGGGCAGACGGATTCATATCTTTCACAATGGTGTTTGTGTAATTGTAATGAACTCAAACTCAACAAGAATTTAAAGTTGGCTTTCCCAAATTTCCCATTCTCAGCAAACCACACACTTTTGATAAGGAATAAAGATTTAGACATTATTTCCATGTTCAGGATTGGGTTTCTGGTTCCTTCTAATGTTTTTTATTCTCTTTCAGTCCCAGTAACTCCATGCGTCTTAGTGGCATTATCGCCTTGCTTGGAGTGAACTGATTGAAAAAAAATCCATTACATCATATTACACTTCCATATATAATCAGAAATAGATTTTTCACTTATTAATCTGACATATTTTAATTGATTGCTTAAACATTATTTTTAAATGGATACCCATATTTGAGAGCACATATTTTCTAATGTCTCAAATATTCAGGCTGGTAAATAGAAATAAATAAATATACCGTTTAATAAAGAAATAAAAACAGAGCAACTACTCAAATATGGGTATCCATTAAAAATAACATTTAAACAATAAATTAATATATATATATATATATATATATATATATATATACTTGTAACTGATAACATTTTCCTCTATATTTAATGCAAACTTTAAACAATAAATATATATATATGTATGTGTGTATATATATATATATATATATATATACAAATAAATATACACATATTTACTTATGTGTGGTATATGTACATTTTTCCCCATATATATAAAGCAAAATTTAATATAATTATATATATATAATATATATATATATATATATATATATATATATAGATAGATAGATAGATAGATACACACACACAGACACACACACACACATGTATAGGATTGGTGTAGAGAAAATAAATTCCAATAACCAAAAATACTATTCTTAAAAGAGTGCTCAATACAGAGTAGAGTAAATATTATTTATTCAAAAATTGAGGGGTGTTTGGTTGATATGAACCTTTTAAAACTCTATTCTACATTCAACACCATCATTTGATAAGACACTAGAAATGTTGAAACAAAATGGCTATTTTTGTAGTGATGTTATAACATGTCTATGTTATAATTTTTGAATGAATATTATATATATATATATATATATATATATATATATATATATATCTGTGTGTGTGCATGCATGCGTGTGTATACATATATACAAATGGATATATACATATTTAATTTGTGTGTGGTATGCATGTTCATTCATGCGTGTGTGTATGTGTGTGCGTGTTTGTTATTAAGACAATCAGTAAGTAATAAATTAAAATAAAATAAGACTTTTTTTTTATTAATCAGGCAACTGTTTTTTCATTTCAAATGTCCAGATGAGTCATAGGTTTGACAGTAAACAAACATCAGGTGCAAGCTTTGAGTGCTGGAAAGAAAGTAAAGGTTTTATTTGTTTAAATATTTAAACCAATGAAAAAGAAACAAGAACAAAAAAAATGGCATGGGAAGAAAGAATAATTAAAGAAAGGAAAGAAGAGGGAAAAAAAATGAATAAATCAAAAAGAGAGAAACGGCTAAAACAGAACAAATAGACTTTTGACGGGGTGCTAAAAAGTTCTCAGCCTAAACCACTTTCCGAATTCTGATGAAATGATTTTTCAGGGCTTCTCCAACAGGCTAAGAACTTTCTATATTTTTCAGTTGTGGGGTGCTGACAAAAACAAAAAATCAGGCTCTCTTTTATTTGACCTTTTACCATACCAGGATAATAAATATGAAGAGCGGATTTAAAATAACGATTTTATTAAGCATATGTCAGCCCTTCCCACTATACATGTCTGTATGTATTAGTTTATTAAGAAATATTTGCCTATAGTCTGGTTCACACACTTCCCTGTTCTTTTGAACAGGAATAGAAGTTTATCTCTTCTTTCCTGTTTACGAGTGGGTTTCCAGTTCCTTCTAAAGTCTACTTCAAAGTTTCTGTCTAAACTCTGAAATTTTATTTACTTTTTTTTCTATAGGAGTACATGGGTTTGTCTATCATTCTGTTCACAATAACCCCCTACCATTTTTTTGAACATGAGTAGAGATTTATCCCTTGTTTCCTGTTTAAGACTGGGTTTCTGGTTCCTTCTAAAGTCATCTTCAACTCTATACTACTTCTAATGTCTCCGCCTAAACCCTAAAATTTTATTTACTCTTTATTTAATTTGATTGTATTTCTGGTTCCTTCTAAGGTCTTTTCATTCTCTTTCACTCCCTTGCATCTTATTGGCATTATCGCCTTGCTTGGGGTGAATTGATTTTTTAAAAAATAAAGATTATTGCGATACACTCTTCCTCTGCCTCTTCATACTAGGTCTTGTGCCATACTAAGCTAGTTTGAGTCTAGATTCCAAATGCTGATTTTTAAGGCAGGTAGGTAGGCCTGCAGAGGACAATATTATTTTTATAAATTTGAATTTCAGCAGCAGTCATCATTTCTATCCAACCAGAAACTAAATAAATTTCTATAGACAATCATTCATCTTGGTAAAAATTGTCTTATTTGAAAGACATTTTGGATTATCAACTTTTGTTTGAATAACTTATTACCAGTTCCACAAACAGCAATAAAACTGATTTGAAAGAAATACAAAGATTTACTTGTTGTGGGGTCTCTTATATGTGACAGGGTGTTGCCAAAGGCATATTGACTAACATGATAGAATAACAGACGTTAAGTATTCTAATGGGTTCAATTCTCAGTGGTTTTCCTATACTTTTGTCCTTGTCCCCCAGGTAAATTTAGCTTTGTAAATATTCATAATAATTAATTCGACTCGAGGCAAGGTTAACAATTACCGTAACAGCTTGTTGCTACTATTGCCTGGAAATACAAGATAGTTATAGGAGAATGACTTGCTCTCTTGTCCATCAAACATTATGGCCAATGCAAAGATATTTTCTCAAAAAGAATTGATTGTGATAGAGAACAGGGATAAATAGGTTCATGCCTAACACAAGGAGTAAAGAACCAAGAGAACATCTTTTATGTGCTGTATTACTTTAGAACATGGGCGATCATGTCTCTCCACAACTTCCTATTCTTTGTATCTCTAAGCAATGTTTATCTTCTTACTGTCCTTCACAGCCACATTAAGTTGGAACATTGGTTCCTGTATGATCACTGAAGTTAAGCAACATCGAGCATGGTCAGTACCTAGATGGGTGAGCACTTGGGAATAGCAGGTGCTGTAAATTTGGATTTACAGGTGCTATAAAGGGTTTATGGCCACATGATGTTTAAACACCAGTTCCTATATGATCACTGAATTTAAGCAATGTTGTGCCTGGTCAGTACCTGGATGGGTGATCGCTTGGTGCTTTAAGCTTGGATGTGCAGGTAGTGTAATGGATAATGACTTGGAATTGTTAATCGGAGTGCCACATTCCAATTCCAGTTGGGTTCATTATATTCACTTACACGCAAATACCCTTCAGAAAGGTATGAATCCATACCTCCTCCCCTAGATATGGGTTAACTAGTAAGACTTATATTACTAAATCAGTATCTCAAAAAAAAATTCTTACAATCTAAAAATATTTTCTGACTTTAAATAGCCTGCAAAAAGTTTGATAAGCTATAGAAAAAGAATAAATCAGTTAATCAAATACCGACTAGCTGCACAAGCATGTCTTTTAGATTTATTTACATTCTCTAGCATATAAATGTATAGAAACTACCATGGCGATAAAGTGAGGGATCAATTTATATATTGCTTGTAATATAGAATTGATCCCCCACATTATAATTCCTTGTTTTTTTATCAAATTCTGATTAGCTATGAATCTGCCTCTTTTCCCTGCAGCTATGGGTTAATTAGTAAGAATTGTATGACTAAATCATTATTATCTCCAAAATAAAAAAATCTTACAATATAAAAATATTTTCTGTTATAAATTACCTACAAAGGGTTGATAAGCTGTAAAAAATGGAGTCAATCAATTAAAGGTTGGTTCCCAGCTGACAAAATGACATTTTTGCAATGATATATATAGGTTACAAAAACGTGTTCTTTTCGTAGACTCCCCACAGCATGTTGCAAATATGTTTTAAAAGTTTATTATTACTACTTAAATAAAGATCTCTTTCTGATTCACAAATATGTTTCACTAGGTATGTCAACCAGTTGTGCGCACCAAGAAAGCAAAACTCCAAATAAAAAACCCGTCTTCTGTGCAGGGACTAAAGTTAGTTTAATAAATGTCAATAATAGTTGTGTAAGAATTTTCCCAGTTGTGTCTATGTGTTCGGCAGTATATAGAGTGGAATGAATAAACCCAAGACTCAAAATAACTGTTAAACAGCTTTTATTTGTGGTTGAAAGAGTGTGCAAAATAGCAGTATTTTGCAAGAAAAAAGTTGGGTTTCCCAGTTAACAAAGTTCTTTTCTTGAGTAGATGTTTTATGGAAAAAGACTTCTTCACTTGTTCCCCCAAGGAACGAGAAGCTGCTAGGACTGGTCTGTGTCTTCTGCAGCAAGGATTGTGAGTAGTTTCTCCTAGGTGTCTCGAAAGGAGATTTCTCTGTTTGTTCTCATGAGGAACAAGAAATCTTAGTTCAAACTGCCAGGACAGGCCATGTGTCTTCTGCAGCAAGAGTTATGAGTAGTCCTTTGAGCAGAGTCTTGAAGGTAGTGGCCACTGAAAAAGAAAAGTGGGGAAAAGAGGCCAGTCACCATTTTTATGAGTTCTGTGACTTCTGGTTGTTCCTTGCTGATTACTTCTGTTGCTGCTACTGCTGAATCAAGAAAAATAAGGAAGCCCCCACATACCACAATAGTCAACAAGCAAGATAGTTTCTATAGTTTAACAGAGAATAATTTTTCATCATAAAAACCTTTCATATTTTAGTTCAGATGAAAAAAAAAGTTTTTTGGGCAGTTTCTAACTCGATAATCAAAATTGTAATATGCTATATTTACTCAGGTTATAAAATATGAATGAATTACAAATAAATGCAAAACTTTAAAAAATACCATCATCCTCCTCCTTATCATCACCATCATTATTATCATCACCACCAACACATCATCAATATTATCATCATCACTATCACCATTGTAATTATCAGTCCCTAAACTGCTTCAATCATTGGGGTGGGGTGTTGGCTAAAGGCCGAAGAAACAGATAACCTCTTCCAGGATGATCTGTTGTTGATGGGTTTCAGAAGTTCTGTCATTGCCATGTCTGTCCACTCAATATTGTCTGACCAGCATTTGATTTGCTATCCCTGCCTTCATCTGCCTTCAACAATGTCTTGCATGATGGTCTTGCAGAGGCTGTTATGCCGTATGATGTGGCCAAAACCATGATGTCTTCCAACACTTAATAGTGACAAGGAGAGATACTTGTTAGCCTACAAGACTTTTGATCTTGACTTGTACATAGACATTGGTTTTCTGCTTCCAGTAAGGGGTGTGGAGGAGCTTCCTCAAGCATTTCTTCTCAAAGCTCTGGATACTTTTTCCTGCCTCATTCAGAAGTGTCCAAGATTCACACTCATAGAGGAGGACAGATATGATCAGTGATATGTACTTCGTATGGAAGCTGATGTCACTCTTCTATATCCCTTCCAGTCTGGCCATCGCTGCTGTGTCGATCTATGTGCAAATTTGTGCATTGTGGGTGTTATCATTTGACATGGTTGCTCCCAAGTATTTGAAGCTGGACACTTGCTCCAGTGGTTCACCATCTAATATTCAATAATTCAAAGATTCATGTGAACTGAATTTATTGATAATAAATGCTTTTAATGGTCTGTAATGCAGTCGATCCTGACCTGGCATCTCAGCTTCAGTCACTTTCTCACCAACAAGACATGGCTTCTCTCTCTGTATTTCCTATGACTATTTTCATAGTAATTTTTCTGATGTGCTTTCCTCCTTGATACTTCAACTGTATGAATTTACTATTGAACTAACTAGATGCAACCATCAGTTCTATTCTAATATTTTCTTTTCTTGCACTTCTTGCCTGTGGAATTCCCTTATGATTTCTTGCACCCCTGCCAATTACAATCTTCAAAATTTAATGCAATGCCAATTGCCATATTATATCTTCCTGAACCCTATTTTTATTGTACTTTCTCTTCATTTCTTCTCACTAAAGTCTTTTTATTCTCTTTCCCTTCCAGCAACCCTTGCATTCTAATGGATTTATCACCTACTGTGAGGTGAAATTATTAAAATAAAAAAGAAAAAAGAAGAATATCTACTAAAAATGTATTTATGCACTTAAATTTCTTGCTGTTAAATTTCTTAACCAATCTTTCAAGTTTAATATATGTTCCTATCCTTTAAGCCATTAATTTCTGGAATGTTTTTCAAAAATATATTTAAGATATGCCTCTCTCCTTGAAGCCATTAAATATTAAGGGTCTTTCAAAAATGTATTTAAGATATGCCTCTCACCTTGAAGCCATTAAATATTAAAATGTCTTTGAAAAATGTATTTAAGATATACCTCTCACTTTGAAGCCACTAAATATTAAAATCTCTTTCAAAAATATATATAATGCTTTTCTCCTTGAAGCCCTGTCTTTCAAAATGTTTTGAAGAAATGCCTCTCACCTTGAAACCATTGTCTTTTAAAAATGTATTTAATATATGCCTCTCACCTTGAAGCCATTAAATATTAAAATGTCTTTCAAAAATGCATTTATGTCTCTCTCCTTGAACCTAAATATTTTACTCAATGTCCTTTGAACACATTAATTAATAATAGACATTGGGCTTTAGGTTGAGGGATAGATCACAATCACATTCCTCAACCTTAAGCCATTTGTTAAAGTTGAGTATAATTTTTTATTGAGATGATCAAGATTGCTAGTAGTAGTGTATGTTTATTCCTCAGCTCTTTAAAAACTGACCTACAAGAAGAAAATTAAATTAAAAGCTCTGAATAAGAATACGGTATTTTATATAAGGAAAGGAAGGATATTGTGCAAATCAATTTCTATATTCTCTTTTAGTAAGAAGAAATATAATTTTTAAAAAAGATAATTAATTTTTTTAATACCCACAGTTTTCTAAACTGTTTAGTGTTTCGTTTGAGTGAGTGTTAGAAAGCGAAATATAAAAAAATAACTGTGAATTACTTTGCCATATAAATAAAAAATATCAAAAAAGGAAAAAAACAAACAAACAAAAACAGCTGTCATAGTCATAATGAAGATAAAATAATTTAAATTTATCATTTTCTTAAAAGAAAAAAGTAACGGATCATTTGGAAGACTAATAAAGGAGTGTCAATGATGAATGAATGAATGAATCATGTTTAAGCTTCTTGCAGCTTGAGACTCCCAATCAATGTCCGATATTTTTCAGAATTTTATTTTTTTTTTAAATAGAGAAAATATATTGCAGTAAAACAGAAGCTAGCAAACATGAAAAAAGAAAGCTAATATTTGTTTTAGTTTACTTTAAACAAATGAGACAATAAAAATGAAGGACAGATAGATAGTGTAAAAAAAATAGCAGATAAAGTGCGCTTAAAACAGTCGCTGGCTTTTTTTTTCTGCGTATGTTATGCTAGACGTTGAAAACTGATTGTGTAGGGAAGGAAGAACCTGGTTTCTCCCCCTCTACTCAAGAAACAATAATAAATGAGGTTAGGGAAAGGAGAAAAAAGACCAAACAAAACAAATAGTGGGTGACACGATTGCTGAAGCCAACCAACGGGCTTAGACTGGCGGTATTTTCAAACTTTCTATCCTAGACGACAACTTTGCTTGTTGGGACGGACGGCAAGACTTGCCATTTGTCTATGAGTCATCATCGTTTGTATTCAATGTCAGTTTTCTTTCTACCTTAGAAAAAGCAACAGTTTTTCTGAGTTTAAGACGTGTTTCATGTCAGTCGCTTTACACGGATATATATATTACAGGGTAAGGGAATTGTTATTTTATATTATATTTTATTAAAAAACACAAAGGATCCTTTTACTTTTTTGCTTGATTTTCCTAAAACAAAATTTGTCCTTTTAGAAATTCGACCCAAAAATATAGATTTTTCTTTTTCAAAAAGTAATTGTTTTTTAGATTTAGTTTTTATTAGCTGATGTGTTTTTTTTGTTTTGTTTTTTGTATATAATTTTTTGCAAGATTGTCGTGTAAAGTTTTATTTAAATAAATTAAGTTAAGTAAGTCATAATTGTATATTCCTTTTGTTTTGTAGTTCTCAATTTTAAATACTTA